ATCAGAATGATCACCGGCGGTAATCAGTGCAAGTCGCGCCCAGGTCAAACCTCGTACTTGTGCATAAATAGTTGGATTGTGGGAAAATCAATGTTTATCAACACGAATGTCGAACATGCGCAGCGCGACGACTACCGCGCTTTAAAGCTACTGAGCCTCAAAGAGTTGCAGAAGTTGTGTGATGATGCAAGTTGAGGAAACGTGACTTGTTTTTGTTTAAGGACAAATAAGCCATGCATGTCATTGTCACCATTAGTTTTCAAATTTAAATAGTTTTGTTTATAGTAATATAGTTTGAACATAAACATGGCATAGATCCAGAAGCTGATGCTTGATTATGATATTTTAACATCAGTGGCTGACATTAGGTCATTTTGTATCTAAGCATCAAACGAGTATTTTTCCACTTTGAGAGAAATTGCTCTGGAACAGCAATAATTGAAACAAAATGTCGGCCATTTTGAATACATCTGTATATCTATGATGCATAATGAATATATAAAATTAACATAATCAAAGCATGCCAGAGATATGGCTCTAGAACTGCGTTCATTAAAACATAGCTGAACTCTGGTGACCTTGCCCTTTGTTATATAATATTATTCCCTTTATCAAAGTTTGCTCAATATGAATATGCATTGTCACAATTAATTTTGAATACCAACAAGTTTTGGGGTGGGAAAGCAGTTTACCGAATGTACTTGATAGATATAAATATCTTACAGTAAGTCAGATATTTTAGTATAAAAAAAATGTCTCGTCTCAGAAAAAAGTGCTGCATTTAGACGTGAATAGATTCATAAAACATGCAAGTTAACAGAAAATCTTAGCTGGCTTTTGTCCAAGTATTTTGTACAGGTGTCTGTCAACAATTAATGATTCACTGAGACAAATATGAACTGCCTTATAATCATTGTACAGTGTATTTGAAAAGTAAAAAAACGCGTAAAAAATCATTCTGTTCTAACAGCTGAAATAAATTCCTGTGAATTTTCATTTGTCAAATGAACTGTTTGTCATATACAGAATTCATATTTTCTTTTCAAAATGTGGATGCAACATTTTGCTTTTCATGTATTTTTTATGTATTTTTGATTTGATAACTTTGGACTAAACAGATTGTCTATTAGTTTCAGATCTTGATCAAAGTTTGGCACCCAGTTCATATGAGTGCTTATATTGATTTTCTGACATCTTGTTTTCTGTAAACATTTTATTGGTAGGTTTGCAAATGTGTATCAGACTGTGCAAAAACTCTCTCCATGAGTTGGTTTTGAAACCCAGTCTAGTATTCCCATGGGATTTGGGAGATACATTACCAAGGATATAATTACAAGATAAATGATTTGCTTCACTGAACACATACAACAATGCATATTTCCACTGAGATCGGTGACCTTTGAATGTGTATTACCAGTGATCAGTCAAGTAGAAACAGTCAGACTCTCTAAATGTTTGCATGATATTTCCATACAGGACATCTGTCGTTCGTACTCAGGGAAGACTTTATACTGATGAATAAGGTGACCAAGTTTGATAAAGTTTGGAATAAAATTAGTAAAGTTATTGTACACACAATAACAATTACATGTATTCCTTTAATATACCTTTCCCTTCCATCTTTGATGGCATGGGTAAGGTAAAAATAGGTGCCAGTCAGCCATTTGGAATTCGATCTAAAAAAAATAATCAAGGAACAATAATGTCTAATGTATGTACCAAGTTTGAATGAAATCCATCCATAAACGATCCGGGTCTGGAATGCCAGAAATGATTTTTGAGCACAAAAATGGCCACCATTTGGCCATTTAGAACTGGATGGTCAAACCAATTTGTATAATTATTAAATGATGTATAATGAATATATAAAATTTGAACATAATCAGACTGAATGTCTGAGATATGGCACTAGACCACATTGATTAAAATAAAATTGTCGCCAGTGTGAAGTTTAAATGTAATCGATACAGGCATATCCAAGACATAGGTCCGTATGCATAGATGCACAAGGGTCAGTCTATAAGTCCCAGTGTTCGTACTGTGACCGAAAGAGGACTAATTAATAAATCAGACCCATATACAAGAAAAGTGGAATAGCAAAGATGAGATGAAATATGGTAGTGACATCACAATTTCAAAACAAGAGAAGCCCCATCAAACATTATTTGGAACAGACTACAGCAGGAAAAACTGATTATGAAAACACACACTTATTGATCGCATCTAATACGCCAGTAGAAACAGAATGCATATTTCATTTCAAAAAGATTCAAATTTGTAGAATACATTAACAAACTAATCGCTAATACAATATCCAGAGTTCATGCTAATCTAATAACAAAGAGAAGATTTACAAGGTTGGCAAAGGTCAACGTAGTGGCTGTGCTGAGATAACTCCGCTGTTAGCAATGCACATTTCAATCAAAAAATTGAAAATATCGTCAAAAAAATCTGAGAGAACCACATCTGTAGTACCTATATGTTAATCAAAGCAATCTGACTTGCAGCTTTCAACAAGATGTCGAAATTGTCACTTTTTACCAAAAATATTCACCAAAATTAGAGAATTAAAGATATCACCTTGAAATAAACAAATCTGAGTAAGATCTACCCAAGGTACAACATACACACCATATACCCATATAAAAACATCAAAGCAATCAGGCTTGTAGTTTTCAAGAAGAAGTTGAAAAAGGAAAACTGACAATCACTCATATGATTAGCTCTGCTCAAAAAAATCAATAGCGAAGCTAAAAAAAGGTCTGATATATATACATGTATAGAAATAATAAGTGAAGCAAAAATATTTTTTTTTAACAAGATCTGTTTTATTTCAGACATAAGGAAAGCATACGTCAAGAATAGTATCCCTCCTATACGTCACAAGTAATTATACGATAACATCAGTTTCGAAGTGGAAACAGACATTGGGGGAGTAATTAACCTATCAAATCAAAGTTCAAATGTCATATGGTAACTACTTCTGTAAATATATTGTCACAAACATTAATTTCAATAAATTATACACAGGAGTTCAATATAATTGGTCTGTGAGATTTTGAAAGATTATAAATATTACAAAAGGCAGCAAAAGAGATCGTATCTGTACAGCAACATACATTTGGTACACTGTAAACTGGCTAACATGACAGAAAAAAATCAACATTGCTGCGATAAAGCGACGCAGATGTATTCAATATGATCTTCTGTGACATACGCAAAATACATTTGAATGTCCACTATGTGGTGAATGACACTTTAAACAAAACATTAATTCTGAATCAGGGGGAGAGACGAGGGTCACTAAATGTAAGAATGTAAATTGTTGAGATCCAAAAAAAAAAAAAATATATATATATTTTTTAAAAGTCTACCATTGTAGAAAAATAATAAAATCTGTTGATGGAAATTGGTCTGATTGCTGGTTTAAACCCACGTTGAGGGGGGGGGGACATTTTACTATTGCTGCTAAGCACAAACACATCACAAACAATCTGAATTGCAAATAACCCTATAATTAGTATATTAACATTTGTCAAGCTGAAAATAATGTATTATCTAGATATCATTTGATAGGTTTTGAATTAACTATAACTTCGTATGGTGTAGCAACCATACATATACTTATTAAAACATTAATTGTTAGCATGAATTCAATTTAAAAAGTCAAGAGATGAACAATGACCAGATTCTCATCAGGAGTTTTTGTTGAACAGACAAAAAAAAACTTGCTTATAAAGATCCACCTCAATCTTTATTTCAATTATTGCAATTGATTCTCGACCTCAGTACAAAGTAATGTCAACTGCACACGCTTTTGTGTATGTATTTGAACTGTGAAGTTTTTATCAAATCAACTTTTAAAAAAGTCGAATACAGTGCCAGCCAGGCATGATTATTTGGCTTGACACAAATTGGCATGAGGCAAATGAACCACAATTTAACACTAAATGAAACAGTTTGTGAGAATTTGAAAAAAACCACCAATGATGATATCTACAAATATTTACTTAAAATCATGGGGAAATTGACAACTTTAATTACAAGAGAGATTCAAAAAACAAAACAAAAAAATATCAGATGTGTTAATTTGTGTCAGTCCACTGCTTAATGTAAACTGGCTCCCCTACCAACATACACGTTAGTATCTCCAGTCCTGGTGAAGTTAAAAATGACAGCATAATACAGTTAACTGCATACTGGCTCAAGAGTAGTTCAATCTTGACTTCATCACATGTAGGCACCACTGATCACAAT